TAATACTCTACTTCCCATACACCACAAAGGGTTAGTAATGCTCTCAAGAAAAAAGTTTGATAAATGTGATCTTGTACAGCATTTTTCTCCTTTCAAGAATTACATCCCCCTGGATTGAGGATATACCTTGGTAGTAGAGTGCTTGCCTGGTGTGCATGTAGCCTCGGTGCAATCCCCAGCAAAAGAGAAAAAAAGAATTATATCCCCTTCTGTGTTGACAAGCTTTGGGTTGCTTCCAGTGTCTTCAAAAATAAAATCTCTTTATTGTACAGAGTTTATCACTATTAACAACAGGATCTGTCCAATATAAGCTACTCTATCACTTCCAGAAGCTGAAAGTCCTCTTGTTTTCTGAATACCATCTTCAAAAACTGAAATGTTTCTGGATCAACTTCTTTCAGGAGATTAATGTTGCACTGAAGTCAGAGCCACTATTTCTTTGCAACACAGGATTATATAAGTAGTTCAGATGACAGATGATAATACACTAAGGTAGTAGTAATGAAGGTGGTCAGATTCCATTTTCTCTAAATTGGATTAGCTATTTTTTATACTTTGTTATTGTACTGGGAGTACATTGTAACATTTATAAAATTTCTTACAGTTTATCACAGTTGAGTTCACCCCCTCCGTCATTCTCCTTTATTCCCTCTTCCCCCATGGATTGGCTACTTTATGTACCAATATTTTGTTGTTAGAAAAAAATCACACAAGCTATGAGAGACTGAAATTATCTATTGTCTCTCAGAATTTCTCAAGGCTTACACAAAATCAACAATTATGTTCATTTTTAGTAAAGAAAAAATGTGACAAATTGTTCTTAGTTTCCTTCTTTCGAAAAAAAAAAGTGTGCTTTTCTGATCCAATACCCAGGCATTGCAGATTTGTAGCTCCATTCCCTCCCCCCCGCTTGCTATGTACAGCTCACGTTCAGCTAAATTGAAATAACACATTTCCAAAGATGCCATATGGAGAATGGCTGGAATGAGGACAAAAGTGGAATATGCGAGATGACTGGGATGGAGGATATTTAGGAGGAGAATCAGTAGATGTCCATAGTCAATTAGCCTTTAGAGTAATGTAGAGGCATAAGGCTTCTGAAGCCCTGAGCTAGGAAGCAGTGGAGATCCAGAGAGCACAAGTGGAAACACACTTGATTTTCAATTTGGAGTGTAAGATGTCTTTGAGTTCTTTATTTGAAGACATTTAGCTAATTTCCATGTCTCTCATCACTTTCATTTTTTCTCTACCATTTTTCGTGAATCTTCTCAAAGTGAAATTATGATTATGCCACTTCCATTTTTAATAAGTAATGTCTTCCTGCAAACAAAACAACGAAAGGGGCAGGTTGTTAGCCTGCCATCTAAGGTATTCCACACTCCAGTTTTTGTTTTTCAACTTTATTTCCCATTATTCTGTAGCAGTTGGTAGTTTTACAGTTTCTCATAATTAAGAAGCACATACAGGTAGAGAGAAGCCCCAACAGAATTCCATTCATGCCATCCTAGGGAGAACACTGTGATTTTAGAGTTTGCTTTAAACCTTGAGATGGAAAACAAAAATGTGAAAGGAAGACTAGGAACTAATTTCAACACTTTATACTTCCATGAAAATAAATGTTTAGATCTGTGCAAGTTCTGAAACTGCAATTATAGACTTCCTTGGCACTATGGAGCCTAAAGGTCAATCAACCCTAAGATGGATATACACTAAAGATTGATAAAATACTTTTTATCAGTTGCTCAGAAATTTTGGAAGAAGAAAGTTAAAATTTCTGAAATGTGTTATAATCATTTATTATTTGCTATATTTAACTGTGTACTTATTGCCATAGTCTTTACCTTCTAATGGAATTTAAATGTAGCTTCTAAATCAGCATTGTCTGCCAGAAATGTAATATAAATCATACAATATATACTATTACATTTTCTGGTAGCCAGATCTAAAAAGCAAGAAGAAATAAGATGGCATTAATTTTCGTAATGCATTATATTAAGCCTAATATATTTTATTTAAACTATTATCACTTCAACATGTAACCTAAAAAATTGTGTAGTAAATCTCCAAACCTGGTAAATGTCTTATACTTACATCAAACCTCAGTTTGGACTAGTTGTATTTCATGTGCTCAGTAGCCACTTGTGGCTAGTGGCTACTGTACTGGAATGTACAGTTGTAAAAATCAGTTTCCTAAGCAGTAACATGATGACATCTACTAGGTTGACTTGCACTACTTCCATTGATTCAGCCAGTAGTGAGACAATGAGCCCCAATAGATTTAGAGAGTTTATTAGAAATGGCACAGTAGGCATCATGAGCGTCCACGCTTGCACTGCTTCACCTGGACACTCAAGTCCACAGAGGTTATGCAGAGGTGGGCCCAGGTGGGTGCTAGTTGAAGAACACCAAGCATAGGTAAATCTCAACTTTTACAAGGGGGCTACAGGCAAACTTGTTCAAACTTTGTTCCTAAGGAAGACAGAATACTTATCTTCTTCAGAAAACAAACCTGCAGAGGGAAACAAAATCTGAAACTTCAAAGACTACTATGCAAACATCCTCAAAAGGATAGTCCAGGACACAAAAGATTTAGCAATGCCATTGAGAGTTGCCTCCCAAGAATCAGTTTTTCTCTTGAAAGGTGGATAGTCCAGGCAGCTAGATGTCCCAGTGTCCTCTACATATCTCAAAAAATAGGATAGAACACACAGTTACAATTTTGTTGTGCTTATATGTCTCTCACTATTCTGTGAGCTCCTAAAGTTAGTGAAACACTAGTACTCATTAAATCTTGAAAGAAGAAATAAATTAGTGCTTTTAAAGAAACAATAATGAGAAAGACTTTAGGAAAAATTTAGATTGGTGGTCAAAGAAAATCAAGGTTTGATTAATTTGAGACTTGAAGAATAAGAAGCCAGCCATGTAAAATCTAGAGATGGAGAGTGGTGAAGAAGCAGCAGCATGGCTAAAGGATTTACAGCTTCAAAAAGTTTGGAGAGTTGAGGAACAAAAGTTGAAAGTATCTTAAAAAAAAAAAAATGAGTATTCAAATGGATCAAGACCACTTGGGAAAGTAATCTTCAAATGGAGACAGATTATGGAGGGTTTTACAGACCATGTTAAGGATTTGGGATTTTATTCAGATCCATGAGAAGACATTAAATAATCTTAGGTCATATATTATAATCTGATGTAAAAACATATCTTCATGTAATTTCTACTACCAGCTGTCTTGTACAATATGCACCAGAGTCACAAATTCATTAGGAGTCAGTGACAGTAAATAGTGACTAGTGACCAATGATCTCAAAGTCTAGAAACTGAACATTTCCTATAGCAGAAGATTTAGCTCCTCTTCTTTCTCCTGCCTTCGTAATATATTGTAGCCAAGCCAACCTATTAAGCATTTCCTAAGAGACCTTACACTTTCTGACACTCATCCCTCATGCTCTACTTACTTAAATTTTTCTATTCTTATTAAGTTTTAGTCATAAGGAAGAATGACACCATGTGATTTGAAGGTAAATGGATGCAATTGGAGGACATCATGTTAAGTGAAGTACAAGTCAGATTCAGAAAAGATAAAGCAGTGCAGATACATCGAGAAACCCCTTTGAACACCAACTTTGAAATAACAAAAGACAGGACTGTAAAATAGGTACAATGTGTGGGTGGGGGGGTACTTGTGTGAGGGGAAGGATGAATGAAGGAGATTAAGGTGAGGGAATATGGTTGAGAGATTTCATAAACAAAACAGAACAATGAAGCCTCTTGCAACTGGTTTAAGTGGGGTGGGAGGGGATCAAAGTGGGAGAGATGGTGGGGCATTCTAACCAGTGTACAAAGTAAGCCTATTTGGAATTGTCACAATGAATCCCCCTGTACAACGAATATATCCTAATAAAAATTTTTCCACTATTCTTTTGTATATAGTTAGCTTTATCCTTTGTTTAAATCTATATATGCGAAATTTCCTTTGTTAATCAATGATGCCGTAATACAGACACTGTACAGCAAGAACATTTATTAATTTCAAAATTGGCTTCAGACCACTAAGAGTGAAATTAGAATAAGAGTGTGAAATGGAGTAGCAGAAAAATAAAATATTTACAACTCAAAATATAGTTAGCATCTAAGTAAGTTGGTTTTCCCAGGCTTTGTCTGCTTTTCTCAGAAACTTTCTACCGAGGAATCTGAGGAACTGTTTTGGTTCTGACTACAGATGATTTGACGTAGCTCAACCTCAGTCGAGGCGTTGGGAGAAGTTGGGGGCTCTCATACTACTCACCTTGCCTGTGAAGCCTTCCTCTTTATCTTGAATACCAATCTCCTTTGATAAAGTTCAGTGAGTTTTCAAAGCAAACTTTGGTAAGCATTTTTATCAGATCCTCACTTTACAAAATAATCTGTGAGAGCATTATTTCTCCACCTGTTTTATAGAAGAAAGAGGCTGTGGAGAAGAGAACTCAAAGATCTTTAGAGGCTTGGTTGAAGACATTGGTTTTTAATTACCTGACTGACAGAGGCTCTAGGCTCCCTCCCTGAACAGTTTTTCTTTCACATTTACCCAACCCTACTTTCAAATAGGACACCAGGACGCTTCAAAAAGCAAACTTTCTCAGATTACGCTGGGACAACCTAGCATGGAGAGCTGAGGATCCAAGGGAGGGTGGAAAATCCATAGAACAAAGGAATTTCTGCTCCTTTCAGACTTCTTTTTGACCAGAACTGCCTTCGTGTGTTCGGAGCTGTTCTCATGTAGTCATCCCAACCTCGTAGGTAGGCGCTACCGACCAGAAAGTAGCGTGCACAAGCTCGGCTTTCGGTGGAAGAGTCGGGCTTAGGACCTTCGACTCACACCTCACCGTCTCACAGTTCTGCAGGCTCCGTCCCGGGGGCGGGGAATTGAAACGAGCGCCCTCCGCGGCAGCCAACCCTCACGGCGGAGCGCGCCGGGGCTCCCGGCCGGAAGCCCGCCCACCGGAAGCGGTGCGAGTGGGTCAGGTGTCCGCCGAGATGGCGGTGCCCGGGCGAGCGGAGCCGGGGTGGTAGTGCGTCCCCGCGCCGCAGCGCAAGAACCGGGGAGGCGCCGGCCGCCGAGAGGGCAGCCTGAGGTACTGTTATTCCGGGAGGGCTGGGGTAAATGCCCCTGCGCCGGCAGAAGCTCCGTGTGGCAGCGCAGCAGCGAGACACGGAGGGGGGGAGGTGGACCTACGGTGCTGACCATCGCTGCATCTTCCACTCTAGGAGGAGGCACCGTAGATTTAAATTAGTTTATTTAATCCCAGGATCGCTGCCAGTTTACAGGGTGACCTTGGCCGAATTCAGTTTTCAAAGGTTCTTTTTAACCTGCTGCCTGTCTCTGGAAGCTGTTACAAGGGTGGTAAGATCTTGCAAAAACCTTTTGAAGTGTTTGTGGTATTTAAAGGTGGGGTTGTCTTTAATAGGGGTTTATTATGACTTATGGAATACAATACCCTACCAGGGCTGTCCAGTCAGGACCCTTACCGAATTAAGGGTGACTTCGAATAGGAACACGGTAGAAATGGGGTTTTCACAAAACCAAGAACATCACAATTGGTGATAGTCCCGGGCTGGACATTTTAAGAAAGTAATTTCTGATATATACATCACACGCTTTATATAGAACTGTATTTGTTTACATGTTTCCCCACCCTACCCCTCTCAGCAGTGCTGTATGGCAGGGAAGCCAAGGCCCTCAAAAAGTTGAGTCCTAGACACTTAACCTAAATTTCTAAACCTGTATTTTATTTATTAGGTTAGTTTTAAGTCTAGAAATAAGGAATTTCAAATGACTTATATATGTAAAAGTTACTCAAGAAATGTTAAAGTAGTGCTATAAATTAATCTCGTAGCAGATGAAACCCAATGCTAGTGGATCAGCAGAGTTTGATTCATAAACCATGTTATTCCTGGACTTCTGTGGTTTTGCTATCCAGTCACACTGGCCTCCAACCCATGATCTTCCTGCTTTAGCCTCCTGAGTGTGAGGATTACAGGCCTGCACCATTATGGCCCTTAGAACCTTTGCTTTTCTTAACTATTACTCAGAAATGTGTTGTTTAGTTAACCAAATCTTTACATTAAAACGCATTCGCCATTCCCTCACTCTGACATTCATGAACCCATCTAGTGCAGAGATCAACAAACTATTGGCAGTGTAGGGCACATGCATTCTAAAGCTTGTTTCTGTACAGCCAGTCAGCCAAGAATGATTTTCACAATTTTAAACTTAAAAAAAAAATTCAGCAAAGCTTAAAATACTATTTGACCATTTATGAAAAATGTGCTGACCCTGGCTCTTAAGGTGTTCCTAACCTGGAAGAGAAATTGTAGAATATGTGTATTCCCCCTACTAAATACCAAGTTATTTTCCAAAGTGGTTACATCCACTTGAGGCACAACTTACACGAGTTTCAATTGTCCTAAATTCTTGGCAGTATTTGAAATTGTCAGATTTTAATTATAGTTAACCTGTGGGTACTTGCTGTATCTTACTGTGCTCTTATTTTTCCCTAATTGTAATGAAGTTGATATATTTTCTCATTGGCCATTTGACTTTCCTCTTTTTGAGAAGTGCCTTTTAAAATACTTGTCAGCCAGCTACGGTGATGCACATCTGTAATCCGTAACTTGGGAGGCAAAGGTAGGACTGAGAATTGGAGACAAACCCTGGCAAAGTTAGCCAGACCCTATCTCAAAAACAAACAAAAGGGCTGGGGGCATGGCTCAAGTGGTGGAGTGCATGCCTAACATGCTGAGGTCCTGGGTTCATTCCTCAGACACAGCTTTTCTGTTGGGTTGCTTGCCTTTCTGTGTGTTCTGCACATTAACAACCCCTCTGTCAACTGCAGGCATTTTCTCTCACATCTACTAATGAACATACAAGTTCTTGATTTTAATATTTGATGTCAGTTTTGTAAGTCTCTTTAAAATGCTATTTGTGAATGATTAGAAAGGTATTTTTAAAGATCCTAAGATACTCTGTATGTCCTAGAAGCTTTATGTGTTGCTCTTCATTTTCTGGTTTCTTTTTCACTTAGGTTTTCTTTTTTTTTTTTAATGCATTGATTTTCCAGATTCTGAACTTAATTTACAGCTCTTTCATAGTTTAATATTTTTGATTTTCAGGCAAGTCTTTAAATTGCTTTGTTGTTTTTCTACAGATTGTTGTTTTCATGGTTTTTTAATGCTCAAGATGGAAAATCATAAACCAGATGATACTATCAAGGAAAACTTAATTTTTCATATCATAACCAGAAAAATTAACCAACTTCCAGAAGCAGAAAGGTAAGATCCCTTTATTTTAAAATATTTTTTAGCAGGAAGATTTTCATTATTGATTTAGTATCTCAAATTTGTCTGACTTAAGTGTAAACAACACAGAATATCAGAAGGAAACCAAGCCCTTGTTTTGATGAGGAAGCTGAGGCCCAAAGAAATTAACTGTTTTGCTCAATATCACGTAGCTAATTTTGGAAGCTGAGACTAAATCTCCTATCTTTAGAGATTAGTGATAATTCAGTCTTTCCATTCAGCTGGTACAGAAAAATGTAAACCTTTATAGACCCATTTAAATAATTGTCTTCTTTCTCAGTTCTTTTCCGTCAGTATGCTAACCTGTCTAAAAGAATACCATGGAATACATGTGGCTAGAAGACAGGAAATGTGAGAAAAATTATCGTGGCTAAAGATCTTTAAGATATTATTAAAGACAAAATGGTAGTGTAAGAAACAAACTGATTTTTTTTTTTAAGACAACACAAGGCAACTGGAGTATACTTCCCCAAAATGTCCTTAGACCTCTTTGGCAATCAGTAAAATCTCACTAGGTTACATTTAAAATGAGAATGAGACCTTTATAAGACTGAAAAGGAGCTAGCCTGGGAAGAGGGAGGGACATTATCTCAGGTAGAAGGAGTGGCATATGCTGGGCTATAGAGTTCATCATATTTGAGGAACCAGTGTTACTAAAGTACATTAGTGGACATAAGAAACAGGATTTGAAGCAGGAAACTGTGATCCAACTGGCTTTTCTAATGAACATTAATAACTGCTTTTTGGAAAATAAGTAAAAAGAAAAGAGGAAGTCCAGTAAACAAACTAGCATAGGTATCCTGGTAAAGACAGAGGGTAGCATGTTGGCATTGAGGTGAAAGAGGAAGTATCTGAAACACATTTTAGAAGATTAATCTTCCTGTCTGCAGGTATGAAACCTATACAAATTCCAATCTTGATGTCAGCCTCTCAACAAGGGAGAACGTATAAACCAAGCAGTAATAAGAACTTGGTGAAATCTTAAGTTCTATATCCCTTACCACTACCAACACCCACACTGCATGCATACACATATACACGTGCCCACTTTAGTTGTTTTCCTGAAGCAAGTAACAGACTTCTAAAACAAAAGGAGGCCTGTGTCTCTTTCCAAATCAGCAAGTCAGAGAAAGCCAAAAAGATTGTTGCAAAGAACAGATTAGCAGGGGGCAGCAGCTATGAAGAGAAGAAAGCTGGCTGTTACTGGGGCCTTCACCAAATTAGAAAAAAGAGAGCATTTAAGAGGGTGAACTGTGTTACAGATGGCAATACAAGTTGTAAAAAAGCTAAGTGGCAGAAATTAGAAAACACAGGCCTCTCACATTTATATGTGATTCCACAATTGTTTGGTAGATTTTCTAGGCAATCTTTACACTGTAAATTTTATCTTGTATACCCTAAGTTTTTGAACTATTTTAATAGACTTCTGTTATCACAAATTTATACAGTCTCTCTTTTCTAATAGTCAGCTATGAAACCCTTGAAAGTAGAATTTTATTTTTTGTGGTTTTTGCATATTTAGCATCAAGTCTGCTGTAATAGGTTTTCAACAAGTGAAAGGACAGTCATCATTATGAATGCAGAATAACACATGAAAAGTTAATACCTAATATACAATGTAGGAAGCTTAACTAGGAGGTCCTAGAAAAGTTTTTTTAATGAATGTAAGCTATAGTTGGAGTACTGTGTGGTTTTAATTTGGCTAGTTATTAAGTAATGAGAAATTCAAGAGGGTAAACTGTACAAATCTTAAAAAAAGCTAAGTAGTAAGCTGAAAATTTGGAGTATTTCCATTATTTAGTGAGAAATTCAGGTATTATTTTTTTCCCCAAACTAAGTAACGTATAGAATATAGAACAGGGTTCTAAATTCACAAATACCTTGGCTTAGAATCCAAGTAGTACTACTATCTCAAAACATTTAGTCTTCATCAATGAAGGACTGTTGGTAAAGTACCTAGCATATAGTCTCATTTAAATTCCAGTACTTCCCCAAAATCCCAGACCTGACACTAATGGTTTAGAGATGAGTGAAAAGGAAATACATTAACTCCACAGTACTTTGTGGATGGACGGGTGCTACTCAAACCAAGTTGAGTACATCTTTCTACCTGTTATCTAGACTAGTAGGGAAGCCTGGTAGGTAAATCAGTAATTATAAAATAATACCACCTTATAATGGGTTGTGCTAAAGAGGTAAGTATTGGGAGTTAAGTACCAGGAGCTCAGAAGAGAGCCATCCAACTCAAAAATTCTTTAGCTTTCCCTGCTACATAGGTTTGGGAAAATTTCTATACACTAATTCCTTTACAAAAATCACAAAAGATATTTAGGAAAATCTGAAAGGTACCACTGTATCTAAAAGTGTTGACCAAATTCAGAAGCCTTTTAGAATGAAAATCTATAGGCAAAACATGATTTAAGGTTTTGGTTTTATGGAGCTGTGAGGGATAGATTTATCTAGTTATTTCCAAAGACTTACTAAGTTCTATAACATATGCCAGAATTAGACCTTCACCCACACAATGGGATGAAAATCATTTTTCTTACCCTCTCAGGAATCTACTTGAATATGGATCAACATATGTTGGACTTAATGCTGCTTTCTGTGGCCTAATAGCTAACAGTCTTTTTCGGCGTGTCCTGCACGTGACAAAGGCTCATATAGCTTCTGGTTTACCAATGGCAGTGATCCCATATTTGACAGCGAATGTGTCTTACAGAGGTTTTATAAGTTCACCTTTGAGTACAGGTATGTTCTATTTCACTATCACCCAGAAGTTTGCCTTGGAATATGTTATTTGCAATTTTAGTTAATATTTAAATATTATTACCTAATAGCTACATGGGATAATGCAGTAATTGATTGGAAAGACTAGAAACCTTTTGTTTTGTTTTGTTTTTAAATGCCTCCGTTTTAACTGATGTTTTACAGACAAGTTCCTTAAAGGGAAAAAATAGGGGAATAAGACTATGTTAGCAAATCTGTTAAAGCACTACATGCATGCATAACACTTACCAAATGGGAGAGTCAACATTTGAAATTTTACCATGTATGCTTAATGCTGTGAGTATCACAAATCTTGTGATTAGTGATTTAAAATAAAAATACTTAGCCATGCCCATAATCCTAGCTACTTGGGAGGCTGACATGGGGAAGCTTGCAGTACAAGGCCAGCGTGGGCAAAAAGTGAGACTCTAGCTGCAAAATAACCAGAACAAAAAGTGTTGGAAGCATGTCTGAAGTGGTAGAGTACTTGCCTACCTTTGTGCTTTTAGGCAAGCACAAAGCCCTGAGTTTAAATCCCAGTAATACCAAAAGAAAAAAAAAATTATTACCATGGAGGGAATCCAACTAAATTTTACTTTCTGTTAAATGCTGCTCCAAATCTGACCAACTTTGAATTTCCATAATTAGTGTGGATCAGGGGAAACCACTTAATTGCCCAATGAACTAACAGTGAAAATATTAGCCCAAATCTGTTGATATAAAACAAGAGCAGAAAGCTGGAAACTGTCTTGAGATGATTTATATCCATGTCCAGAATCAACTAGGGAATTTTTTTCCTAAAATGGTTTTGTCAGTTTTTCTTATTTTAGGTTACCTATACATGTAATTATAACCTTTTTTGTTTGGGTGCTGAGGATCAAATCCAGTTTCTTGACCATTCTAAGACTGCATTCACTCTACCACTGGGCTGTGACTCCAGCCCCTAATTATACCTTTGAACATGAGGTGCAGAATTACATTTGCTGTATTAGTGCCTGATAAAATATATGCAATAAAAATATAAGTGGACCTTATAGTCTTTAAATCATGTTTGCTTAACTATCATGACCATCACTTCCAGAACTAACTAAATTTATTTCCTAGGTGATCTGAATTGTGAAACCTGTACTGTGATACGAAGTGGACTGGTTGGTTTTGTTTTTGGTGGCCTGTACCCTGTTCTTTTGGCTATGCCTCTGAATGGTGGCCTAGCAGCCAGGTAGGATTTTTCTTATAATCAATGAAAACTTTTAATAATGCATTTCACTCAGAACTTAAAACAGCAAATGTATTTTCTCTTTGTAAGGCATTTAGACCAAAGGCAGTTTTAATTTTTGGTCAAGTTAGTAAGACTTGGTTTTGCTTATAAGTAATCAAGTTTTACTTCTCAAGATAAAGACAGATTCTATCAGAAAATGTCTAGCTATAAGCCTGCTACTCCAAAGTAATTCTGGTTATTCACTGTTGAACTCTTTATCAGCAGTTTAGTCTATGTGAGCCTCCACAGACAGGTGAACTGGAGAATGGGGGCAAAAGAAAACAGGACAGCTTTTAGGACTATTACACAGTGAAGAGTGTGGGATCATCTTTAGATAATTTTATCTTAAGACTTCTACAATTAATGTATTATTAATATACTAGATATTGGTAAAACATTCTTTTCTAGCGAAATATCTCAATGTTTTCTTACAGATATCAATCAGCCCTGCTACCAGAGATAGGAAACATCTTAACTTACTGGATTAAAATTTCTAAGCCTGTCTTTAGAAGGATGTTATTTCCCATTTTACTTCAGACCATGTTTGCAGCATACCTTGGATCCAGGCAATATAAGCTACTTATAAAGGCCCTTCAGTTACCTGAACCTGGCCTAGAAATTCATTGACTTTAAGCAAATATGTATACAAAAATAAAATGGTGAAAGTAACTGTGTCTCTTATGTTAAAAATACACAGACTTGTAATTTATCACATTAGGTACAATTCTGTTATAAAAAAGGCTATTTATAGCTTTTTTTTTTTTTTTTTTTGCAACAAAAGGTTGAACTCCAATAAAGACTAATCATGTAAACTTCAGGGGTGGGGATATAAACCAGTGGTAGAGAGCTTACCTAGCATAGGTGAGGTGATCCCCAACACTGCAAACAAAAAACAATGAAATCTCTAATTTGCCCAATGTTGCCTCTTCCCCCTTGCTTAAACCACTCCTTTACACTAGACATTTAATTTCATCTGTAATATAAAAGGGGAAAAAAAAACTACATAGCAATTTTCAATGAAGACTCCACAGAGCCAAACAAAAAAAATCAATACAGCAAATGTTAATTGTACTTCATTTTCTCATAGTACAGAAATGAATCTGTGCCATTAGTCCAGAAAAATCCTAGAACTTATTTAATAATCTTACAGGGAATCAATCTCAACCTAAACCCCTGAAAAGATGTATCTTTGTTAAGTCTTAGGCAAAGTCTATGTTTTGATGCTTCCATCTATTGTAGAATAGTTCCTCAGAATCTCACATTTGAACCTCTTATGAAGTGTATGGTTTCTATTAAGCAAGTTAACTTACCTAACCCTCACTCAAAGCTCTTATATATATGAATTTTTATTGTTTTGGGGGGTTTAAACTCACAGCCTGTGCTGATAGGCAAGTGTTCTACCCCTTGAGCCACTCCTCCAGCATATTACATATATAAGTTGTTGAACATAGCACCTGACATCAGGCACTCAAAAAGGAGCCATACTGTCCTATTGCCCTGATTTTGCTTTCTTAAATATCCTTGTAGATTCATTTCCTTAGATCACTTATATTTTTTAAGTGATTTGTTAATTTCTTCTTCCAAATACTTCTCATCTTAATTCTTTAAGCCATTTTGTGTGTATAACAGCCTCTCAATCAGCACTGTCCAACGTAGCTTTCTGTGACAATAGAAATGTTTTGTACCTGCACTGTTAAATGTTAGGCACTAGCCATATGTAGCTTTTGATAATGTGGATAGCCATATGTAGCACCTGGTAATGTGGATACATTACTATAAACTGGATAATGTCTAAGGTCTAGACCAGTACTTTCTTATGAAGGATACCACAGAAAAGTACCAAGCAAAATGTTAAGTGCCATTCTAGATCACACTCTTGACCACACCTTTACTGTTCCTTCCATACAGTGACTTAAGACCTGTTAAATAAATTTACACTACTTAAAATTACATGGAAAAATTTAGAAAAGGTATCATGGCAAGTAAAAAAGGCTTTCAGACTGTTTAAAGAAAAAAACACTGCCAAAGATTTAAAATTCAAATGAAGTAAGATACATTTTAAGTTTTTCAGATAGCAAATTTGTTCTTTCAACAGGTACATAAAATGTTTCTCTACCAAACTTATGTAAGAAATTATGACAGTTATAATCTAAATGCACAACAGACAAAAAGGGAATATGCCAAAATGTTTACTATGGGTATCTCCTCTGGGTTGTAGTTATGAGTGATTTCTCCTCAATTCTAGATTTCCTAAGTTTTCTGTAATAAATACGTTTATGTTTACAACTAGAGAAAAACGTGTACACACACACACGTAAAAGGAAAAAGAACAAGGTAAAAAGATCAAGAGTAAAGACTCTCAGATCCAACACTGTCCACTTTACCTGCATTCTATCACTTTTATATAAAGCAGAATTCTACCTTTCATAGTAATAACAACAAAAAATTTTTTTTAATTTAAAATAATGCCTTGCTTCAAAAAATCAGAAATCCAAGTTATTCAATCAGATCCTTAAAGAACACAGAATGGTATGATCAACATAGATAACCCAATGGTATAACTAAGTTGTTTGATTATTACAAATTGTTTCCTTACTATTCTTAAAAGTCGCAGAATATTTGCTCCTTAGCATACCATGTGTAAATGGGTTAATCATTTTTAATGGATTCTATAGCCGCCAAGGAGTTTTAACATCTGCCCTCCACTAAATGTTTTTCTTTGCAGTGCTAGGGATTAGGCCTTGTACATGCTAGGCAAACACTTAACCACTTGAGCTATGCCCCTAGCCTCTGCTTCTACTTTTTAAGGCAGGGTGTCCCACTGCCTTTGCCAGGGCTACCCTCAAACGCAAAATCCTTCTGCCTCTGCTTCCTGAGTAGCTTTATGACCATACAACATATCCAGCTCTGTGCTAAATTTTCTTAAATCCTTTTTTCAGTTAGTAGAAATGGGCAACATAAGCATAGCAGGTTAGCTTGTTGCTACAAATCTACCAAAACATGTTGGTCAGAAGGCAGATACATGACATGAACCCTCTATGACCTGCTTTATACCTTAAGGAAATTTAGTAATTTGTAACTAAGACCTAAAGAACACTGCCTCAATCAGGAAAGTGCTAAATATTTCAATCTAGTAAACAAACTACTTAAAATGTGTCTTTTACAATCCATTTTGTCTAGATACAACCTTAAAAAAAAGAGGATTCATATTATATTAAGATGCTGATATTTTGTAAACTCTAAATTATAGTACACTGAGAGCCAGAGGGGTCTATAAATTCAACCCCAGTGGTAATACAAGGATACAGAATTTGGGAACACATTCTAAGGAAAAGTGAGTTACCAAAATCCAGATTGTTGACAGAATTACACAACATTCCAAACACATTTAGTGACTAAATTTTTAAATTAGTTCTTGTGAAAACAGCAAAATATTTTCAACAAGTAATTTTAGGTCAACAAAAATTACAGGGCACTATAAGACAATAGGGAATGACTGGCTGACAGTATTGAGCCTACCCAAAACGATACCCAAATTCAAAAATACTGTAGTGGCCAAAGAAAGCACTCTCAAAGTTTCTAACAGAAGATCTCCTTTTTGATCTGTATTGCAACTAAATGGAGGCAGGGGGAACGACAAAAAAAAAAAAAAACCCAGCTCAGATAAAACAGTAAAACTGTATTTAGGAGGATCTTAAAACTTTGTACTGATAGTGAGTAGGGTGGAGGGGGAAATACTTGCAAATATCATTACCTGTTCAATTTCATTGGATTAGTTTAAAAGTTTGACTATAATACTCTATTCCATCAAAGTAGTATGCATTTATGATCACCAAAAGTATTAGTGCCTAAATCTTTGGTTGTGGAACCAGCTGTACTGTAGGAGCATCAGTTACTGAAGTGGGAATGCTCTTTACTGCCTGGCTTTACAGGCCCCGAATAAGATTCAGACAACAAGAAACGGAGTGGGCTTAGCAAATTTTGAATATCATCCAAAAGCCAACTATATAGTTACTGTGAAATAAGAACCTATCACTTACCCTCTTCTTCCTCTATCATCTGCTTACTTCCCAAGTGAGTCAGTAAGATAAAAATGACTCAATCTAGACCAAGTGAAAGAATATGTTGACATAATCCACAAAACCGAAATAAAACAATCCAATGTTTCCAATGTTTTTTTCATACTTGTAATAAGCCAGAAAAATATTTCAATTAAGTAAAACCACGAAATAAGCCAGTCGCATCATCCAGCATACCAAGGCCCTTACATAACACTAGAGAAATTTTAATATAAAACAGTAGAAACTAATATACCATTAGAAACCTCAAAATATTTTTTAAATAGTGTCAAGTACTCAAAAGAAAGCTCAAGGAACCAAAACCTCAGAATCCATACATCCTAGTGTTACCCTAAATTGCAATCAACTACCCATACATTTTATCATTTTTTCAAAGATACACAGACAAATCAATTCATCTATTTAAAAAGACTACTCTTTATAGTTAAGGACTTTACATTAACTTTTATAGTCTATGCAGCAAGATGTCTGTTCTCCAAATTAGCTCTTACATTCCAGAAAATAAACACAAACTCATGATATGCTTTGTGATAACTGGTAGCCTGTTTATGTAATTCTCGTTCACTAAATGTAATTCCATAGAATGTGCTCTTGATTGTGTAAAGAATCTAATATTTCTTGATGAAATACTATACTTTATACTTCTCTTCTCCAATGGTTACAATTTTTGAAAGGTATGCAAAGAACTGAGTATCACTCCCATGAAAGACAAAAAAAAAAGTATAAATGGTGTCTCATGTATTTCTATTAAGTCTTTCAAGCATTCCAGAGAATCTTTTCATATCTCCATTTCTGGAAAGTGAAACCAGTATAGAAGTAATTTGGGAACTTGAAAATGGCATTCTTTTTTTTTTTTTTTCAGCAGATGCCAAATTTTTGACCGACATGGCTCCCACAATTACTTTGTTACCATCAGTCCAGTCAGTTAACAGGTTGTAGGAAAAGATTCGTTTTTGCAGATACTGCTAAGCTGTTTAAAGAGAAGAGAGAGAGATTAATTTAGTGATTATAAAATTCACAAATATTTAAAATATTTTGAACACTTTGTTGGATATAGCAGAAGTGTGACTACATTTTAACAAATGTGTACTTTTTAGTTAAGTTTGGTCAAGGAAGTGCAGAAACAAGTCAATGATAGAAATAGAAGAATATGATGTGTTAGTTCAACTAATGTATGAATTCCTGCCACCAAAGGAAAGAAAGTATTAAAAAGCTGTATCTTTAGTTCTGTATCATTTTACCATAGAGGAACAGTTGGGGGAGGGGGAGAAGCCAAAAGGGTCCCCCAAATACTAAATTGTTTTCAACCATTACAGCAAATAGAACCAAACCTGAAAACTTCAAAACAATCTATTTATATTCCAGAAATCTCCTTTACCCAAATACTAACCACTCACAACACAATTTTCTAAAAATAGTAAGACAACAGTTTTATATTAATCATAACTTTTTAATTAACAAGTAGTGAATAGGACACTTTAAGATACTGTTTACTACATACTGAATTAAACATCTGTTGTAAATTCAGAAACCCAAACATTTACAGTAAAATGTGCTCACACATAAATATGATCAAATTTATTTAAAGCCTCTGTTAGATCCTAAGTACATGCAATTACCATGTAAAAACAAGACCATGAGTTGATGTAAAAAATGACAAAAATTACTAAATCACCAAAACTAGAAAAGAAATAATGAAATGGAAACTAAGAAAAGACAGTTAATAAAACATAGGAACCTAACAAAGCAGCTTTAAAAATAGGCCATACTAATCTTTCCATTTTCAAAAAGTTCTTAATCACATAATTCCCCAAACTGCCATTTATAAAATGACATTCTAAAAATCTATACTTGGAATTTCAAAACATCCCAAATCAGAAAGCTTTGTCTACTGTTTCTCCCCAGCCCCAAACTTCAAACAATGCAGGAAAAGCATTGATGTTAGAAGAAAATATTCCAAGGGAGTGGTATAATTTTTAGAAAAACAAACTTACTGCTTCCAGAACCTTTTGATTAAGACCCATAGTCAGCATTAACAACAATCATTTTTCCTATTTTCGTCCATTATTTTCCAATGTCATGTGAGAGATGAATAAATTCCTTGAGCCCATAACTGAAAGATCAACAAACCTGGTTTTATTATGACACCATATTTTTAGCATTGGTACTGCACAAAATTATATACAAAGAAATATATACAAAAAATGTTCAAGTATTAGTTAAATTTCAATTCAAGGCTTCTGTTTCGAAAAGCTACATTTAACATATTTCATAAAGATAGCACAAATTAGTCATTTCAAATAATTTTTTCCAACTACTTTTGGTTTCTATATATATATATTTATATGTAATTCAGTAGGCACTAAAAATCCATGCAGCTGCATTGTGAGGGGCTTGCTCCTGCCCTTAGGTATAAGCAGGTTCATCACTCCAGGTTGTGAGTTTGGCTACTACCCATTCATGCTCAAGTGCAATAGATGATTTTACAAAATATGCTGTGATGCACTGAAAACCAGAGGCCAATTTAGGTCTCAAATCATATTATCTAGCAACAAAACATTTACAGTTGTGCAAGAACAAGGATTCCATTTCCATAATCAAGTAACAACAAAATAAAACATCTTATGTGTAAGATAACTTACATCTTTGGATTGCTGGAAAATATTTAATTATGAACATTTTAAAAATAAAAGACAGCAGAAGCCCTGATATTACCTCTTTTTCCTCATTTCTTATACTACCTTTTAAAATAAAGCAGGAAATGTGGCCAGCAGCTGGTCCCGTCTCTTCTGCCCCAACAGCTGTATCCACTTTAGCACAAAGAAAAACAAGGATGCTAAATACGTATACACTTCATCAAACAGTGATGTTTCACAAAGAATTTCTTAATGTCTGTAATACTGACAGACCTCATAATTCGATTTATACAAGTGGACAATAAATATAGAGTACTTCAAGGGAAGAATACCTTCCATCTTTGGGAAAATACTGTCAATCATATCATTGAGTGGCCAGAACCACTCAATTTTAAAAATTATTTTAAAATAGAGCAAAACTTTTGAAATATGGAATGATTCTTTGTGAAGCCTCACTTTACACATTTTCATTCACATTTCACAACCTTCAATTACCTAATCATACATACATAAATTTAACCTAAAATTTTAATACAACAAAAAATAAAGGAGTTCAACAATTTATTTTTACTCAGTGATGGGATAATCACTGTGCTGGTCCTCAAACGTTTCATTAACCATTCTTACTCTACCTCCAACTAAAACACAGGAGTCTGATGCAGTGAAATATTAAGATCTGTCACTCTGAATAGATTGTATTTCTATATCTTTTACTGAAAGCTAAGGCATTCTTGAATATTTAAGAGATTTCTAGCATCTCCGGGAAAATAACTATCACATTTGTTTGTGCATGCCTCAAATACTTATTGTCAACCTTTGAAAAGTTGCTCTAAAATTGGAATTCCAATTTGCACTTTGTACAACTCGGAACTTCCATTCAACTTCACCTGTTTCACTGTCTCCAAACTGTATCTCTATAAGCAGGTTTCAGTACAGTTGGAACCGATGTCATCCAAGGCCATGTCCACACTGGGGACAGAAGAGCTAGGTACACGCAAGTCTGAACAAGGGGACACATTTAGCAGCTATTTCAACCAGAAGAAGCATCTTAAATACATTATTGACCAGCACAAGTCTGTTTCCAGGGTGGACAGGGCCCAAATTAGATTCCCCACCCACCTTCCAAAAAAGAGAAAAAAAAAAAAAAAGGAAAAAAAAATCACACACACACAAATTGAGATGTTGCCCATTAAAGAAGACTAAAGCAGCAGAGCATGAGCGTTACGTGAAGAGATGGATCCTTACCAGGTTGTGAGGCGGGAACGACTGTTCTGTAACCCCTACAACGGAGCCTGGCAGGAAGGAAATCACCTAAAAAAGAAACTGTCAGAGAGATTTAATAGTCACAGGTTATCATTAGGAGTGGGTTACAGTTTCACATTCATGCTTTTAGCTAAACACTTTAAAAGATTCAATATTACTTTTTTTTTTCCTCCTCTGAAATGTGTCCAGTGAAGATGTCCCACTAAGGTGTTTGACATGGTGTAAGGGAGTTGAAAGGGGTAAACGCGGGTAAAGAGCAGATTACTTGACCCTACATTTTAAGAGACGACGACGCCTTCCGAGCGCACGCCGAGCAGAACTCCACCGACACCTTATCCTTGTCCACATGCAGACACACTCCTCCGGCCGCGTCGTCCTCTTCCCGCGGCTCCGGCGGCTGCTTCCCCACGGGCAGGGCGTAGTCGTGGTCCCCGGCGGGCGCGTCCCTGAAGAGCGAGGTGGTGAGCCGCAGTCCCACGCCGCTCAGCCGGCTCAGCAGGCGGGCCAGCCCAGTCTCGTTGGCCAGGACGGCCCGCAGGTAGCGACTCTCCTCCTGCAGCGCTTGCACGCGTTTGCCCAGCTCCCGGTTCTCGGCCCGCAGCTCCTGGTTCTCGGCTGCCAGACCCCGCACGCGACTCTCCAGCCCCATCACGTACTCCTTCTTCTTCAGCCGGTTCAGCCGGGCCGCGGCCGCCGCCGCCTTCCGGGGACTCTTGGTCGCCGCCTGGCTGCTGTCGCCGCTGCCTCCACCGCCGCCTCCCCCTCCCCCTCCTCCTCCGGGGGACTTTCTCCGCCTCTTTTCCCCGCCGCCACTGTCACTGCTGCCGCTGCAGCCTCCGATCCCGTTGAGCAACCTCTGCAGCAGGTCGGAAAAGCGCTGCATCTCAGCAGCCGCGGCCTCGTCGTCGTCGTCCCCTCGCCACAGGCCGCCACTCTCCGAGCCTCCGCCCGACGAGGAGAGAGGCCCGGGCGAGCTGTGCCCGGGATCCAGGTGCCAGTCCGGCTGCCGGGGGTCCAGCAGATCCGCCAGTTCCAGCCCGGACAGAAAGTCCATGTCCTCCGCCTCCTCCCCGCGGACGCTGCCCATCGCCTCCTCCTCCATCTCTTCGGGCGAGGGCGCGCGCGCGGCCACGCCGCCGCCGCCGCCGCCGCCGCCGCCGCTCCCTCTCCCCGCCTCCCCTTTGCCCTCGTCGCCGAGCGGCTGCTGGCGGCCAGGCGAGGCGGCCGCCGCCGTCTCCTCCCCCGCGGCCGCCCGGGGTAGGTCTCGGGGCAGCGAGCAGGTCGCGGCCGGCGCCGGGCTGTCGCTACGGGCTGGGGAGTCGCGGCCCGAGGCTGCCAGCAGCTGGGTCAGGCTATGCCTCATGGGGCCCCGCGGCGGGCCCGCGTAGGCCCGGCCCCTCACACCGGACCTCGCGGGTCCCCAGGACCCCAGGCTCCGGCGCGGGTGGCCAGGGCGCTGGCTGCAATGAAAGAGTGGAAGAAGGTCCAAGTCACCTCCCGCCTCGCGCGGCTAGTCGACCCCCCGCGCCCGGGCGGGGGGAGGACAAACGGGAGAACCGAGCGGCAAAACCCGGCGATGACTCGGCCGCGCCACCAAGACAACGGCCTGGCCGGAAGTTGGTCGTTCTCCCCACCCCGCCCACCGCATTTCGCGCTCCGTCAGGCTACGCTATCGCGAGATTTCCTGGTGCTTCGGCGTGACAATAATTCCAGTTTTCTGATGATGTCATGGTAATAGCAAAAACAATAAGATCCAGATTTATCCCTCCTAATTCTATAGTAGTACTACCCAATACCAGACTCAACGATAAACACTCATTTTTCCATACTTGATTTACTTAGGTATAAATATTTAACACTTTTTTTTTGCTGAATCATTCCTAAATTGCAGACTTTCACCTCTGCATACTCGTATGCGTCTCTAAAAATAGCATTCTCCTTCATAATCACAACACTGTTATCAATCTCTGAGAAAATTGACACTGATATTATCTAAGTCCTCAGATGTCCTCAGTTGTTTTCAGAAAAATCCTTTATAGGAGATGCTTTATTTTGAGCCAGGATCAATTGGGGAATTAATTACTTTGAGGCTCATTGATTTTTCATTTCTCAAACTATAATAATTCCCTGCATGTTTTAGTTTTTCTTAATACTGGCTTTTTGAAGAGTCCAGGCCAGTTGTCTTGAAAACCACAGGCATTCTGAATTTGTGTGGTTTTCTCATAGTGTTACATTGTTTCAGTAGCTCCACAGGGGATGTGAGATTTGAAGCATTTTACAACTACATTAGAATTTAGAAAAACAAAATAATTCACCTTTTTAAAAATTAAGGCCAAACAATATATAGATGAAATAGGAAGATAAGGATTTCCCAAAGAAGGAAAGGTTAATATTGGAATAGAATGAGAAGCCTTTTTCCATTGTTGGGGTCCAAGGTTGACCACCCCTCAGAGGAACAAAAAGACACTCACGATAATGTAAGCCACAAAGCGAGGTTTATTTCCAGCCAGCTGGGGTCCGGGTATCCGCCTGACGCAGTGGGTTTCAACACGGATCCCGAATACAAAGTTCAGGCTGCTTTTATATTTTTTAGACATTAGTCACGGTCACACAGCAATTTTTATGGTCCCTGGGGTCACATATTTCTGATATCACCCACATCTTGGTGGTGGGGCAAGATTACGTGAAGATTATTTATCAGGAATTTGGTAATCACCAGGTGTCTTAACTCATTGACTCACATACCGTTTTAGCAAGATTAACCAGAAACAGTCCCTGTTCCCAGAAACCGTCCCACCTCCCTTAGTTCCAGTAAGTGGTGGCTTGGGTCATGTTAGCCATGGCCGGTTTCAGGCTGAGTGGGCTGCAAGCCTCAAAGGTACCCTAACATTTGTACCCTAACACCATAAGCACATTTTGTAATGTTTTTCATTTAAATAATCTAAGATGTTGGAGGCCAAGGAGATTTGACTCCCTATTTGACAGTCGTTAGACCTTTCCCTGGTGCTCTGGTTGCCTGGACTGAAAGACTATCAACCAAGCAGCCTGCTGGACTGCCCTCATGCCAGCACTGGCTGCTCTGAACACTCTGTGGACACCTGGAGGAAGCAATACAATAGCCCCAGCTTGCTAATAAAGCACAACTCCTGTCCCAGCAAACAGCTTGCATCACAATCCTCCAGGAATTCTGCATGGCCCTGCAGCCATTTCCACCCAGGCCAGAGGGGGAGCACTTCCCCTGGTGGTCCAACTGAAGACCTGCGACTGATATAAATACAGTCCTTCATTTACCTGAAGGGACTGCCGTCATTGGTGCAGACAGTCTTATCACACCTCCTTTCTGACTGTATAAGCCAGCTGTTCAGGTCACTTTGTGAGTGAGGGAGATACCCTCCTGTGGTGCTCTCCCAGATCTTGCAACATTAGGCCAAGAAAAGTCTTCTCTAGAGTAGTCTTTTCTTGCCTACTTTTGATCTTCACCATTAGTTAAACAGACTGAGCCAGTAACACAAAGAAAGGAGAAGAGGTGGCAGAGGTAGCACAGGTGGCAACACTGGCAAAGGCGGCAGCAGCCATAATAGCAACAGTAACAACATCAGCAGAGACAACACTGGCAACAAAGGTAGCCATCACCCTGTGATGTCAGTGACAGCAATGAAATGGGATAAAGGAGCTTCCAGGGTAAAAGTGATGGGGAACATTTTAAACCCTAAGACTTCCCATAAAAGGTGATAGGAAACAAAAGTGGCAGAGACAATGAGGAACAGCAGAAGTAGAGAAAAGTGAGAGAGGACAGAGAGTAAGGCTGAAGAAAGTCAGAAAGTTGTAAAGAACCAGAGGAAAAAGAAACTGTGAGCCCTGGTCACTGGAAGAGTTTGAGAGAGCTTAGCACTTGTTGCTATAAGGCTAAGGGTCTGAGCACCCAAGGCTCATACAAGAGCTGTAACACTAGTGTGTCTGTTGCTCATGACTGTCTGCTGCCAACAGTCTCAGACAATTCCAAAGACTGCTAAGGGCCCAGATTACTAGCAGTGAAAGTGCTTCTACTTACCTACCCACAATTCCTATTCATGTAGAGCAGGACCATAACAAGTACTTAAAATCTGCTGTTGCTTCACTGAAAAAGCACTGTCTTCTTGCTTGTGCCCATTAATTAACTGAGAGCAGTATAAAAGCTAGGCACCCCAGCCTCGGTTGTGTATCTGTCACCTCCACTCTGAGTCTCTCTTGTAATCACCTTGGAATCCAGGAAGGATAAGACTAGACAAGACATCTTTGTAACAGTAACCCTTAAAGAAAGGAGCATCAGGGCCTCTGCAGGACAGACCACTTTCCAGGATCTCCCTGGCCAATCCTGAGACATTGAGCTACCACCTATGACCACGAGAACACACTTGTGACTAGGGCTGTTTATGTTCATGCATGCCCTTCTCCTGCCCTTAATTCTTCCTCCTCTAAACCCGTAGCAAATGTCTGGAGGGGGAAGATGGGTTAAAATGCATACCTTTTCTCTTCCCGTGTTGTGTCTGTGCCACATCAGTTAAATCTCCTTTCTCTCCACCATTACTTCTCTCTTTATTTGGAATATTGGGGTGAGTGGCTGAATCTAACCTATGGAACACTGAAGTTTGGGCCTGGGGCTTAAAATTCCTATGACAGGAACCCAGCCAGCAGATTGGTAACAATTGGGCTCAAAATATATTAAGCTTCCTGGCAGTCGAGAGAGGGAGAGAGAGAGAGAGAGAGAGAGAGAGAGAGAGAAACTTTCCTTTATTTGTTCACATGTAAAGTACATATGAATTCTTTAATTGCTTTTTTAGACCTTATGTCTTAAGGAAACCTCTTTCTGGGATGCCAAATAGTGTAGCAGACAGCCTCGGCAGTACCTGCTTTATATGGCTGTGTGTTGAAAAGTTAAAAGTAAGTGCCAGAAAAGCTGGACACTGATAGATTCCAAAAAGTAAGTGCCGGAAAAGCTGGACACTGATAGATTTCAAATATTCAAAAAGGTGCCTAGCCAAGTGTACGCTTTAATAAATACTTGTTGAATGAATGCAGAAGCTGTACAGATTTGACTGAGGCATAATGCTAAAGCTCAACTGAATGAAAACTACTCTGCAAGGGGCAAAAATAAATATGACATTTCATATCTAAAGAAGAATAAATAAAAGGCCTCCATGTTCCTCTTAACCTCCCCATTAGGAAATGTTTTGCTAAAGTGGAACAGCCTGCAGTTTAAGGTGATACTTAGATCTGTTTTGAGTACAGGTGTTTTGTGTGGCTGGTTATCCCATCCAACTGTATTTTCTCCTTAGGCAAAACTCAACATCATGGATTGATTTATTATATTTTCCTATATTATAATTTTTTGGTTTAAATAAACATGGCTTAAAAGTCCTTCCAGATTGATTAAGAAAAAGCAGAACATTGAAAAGGAACTTTTCTAAATGCAGCCTCAGAAGAGGAAAACATATCTGAAACAAGAGTAAACCTCCCAGAAAATGGTTATTCCTTCTCCTTTCCCTTCCTCCCTTTTCTTCTCCTCATTCTTTTCACTCTCCCCTTCACAGCTATTTTATTTTTCTGGTTATAATGATCATTTAGAAGATTTAGGTAATGCAGAAATGACAATAATTAGAAAGATATTACCAACAATCTACCCCTAAAATAGCCATTAAAATTTTAATGTATACCATTTAAGTTTTTCTATGTACAAAACACATGTTATTCTGTTTTGTTTCTTTGAGCTCTACTCTTTTGGTATGAACATATTGTGGACATCTATCACACAAATAAATATAGATCCAATTGTATATTTTTAAGATTGTCTTCAAATTCCTTGAAATACACTTTTTAATTTTTATTCCATCAGTCTCCTATTCAAAGCAGTAAGGTTGTACTGAGTTCTTTTTATAAACCTCACTATACTTTCATGCCAACATCTTAGTTCACTTTTCCCATAATCTTTTAGGATAAAATCCTAGAAAAGGAATTTCGGGACATAATTTCTTTTGAGACAGGGTCTCAAAACTTGAAAATTTTCCAGGTTCAAAAAACCCTAAAATTTTCATGGAAGTTGCACTAAATGTATTCATTTTTCCAGTTACTTTATGTAAACTTTGCTATTGAAATAGACTGTTTTTTCCTTTCCAGTTTCTAAATGGCAATTCTTGCTATATAGGAAATAAGACAGCTAATGCTCTTTCTTATCAAATTTTTAACTGACTACCTCACTAAACTTTCCTAATAGTTTTTATTTTCAGTTTATTGATTCAGGTGTTTCTGATAAACAATAATATGGCTATATTATATAATGAATTTTCCTTCTTTTAATATTTATTTTATTTTTTGGTGGTATTGGGATTTGAATTCAGGGCCTCTCGCTTGTTAGACAGGTCCCACTTGAGCCACTCCACCAGCCCAATTTTATTATCTTGACCAATAATGAAATAGAGCTTCTAGATTAATGCTTAATATGAATTTTGATAATCAACTTCCTCCTCTTATTCCTGATTTTAGTAGGAATGCCTCTAGGGTCTAGCTGTTGATTTGAGATGGGCTCCTATTTGTATTTTCATAGAGGCTTTAGCAACATGGATGGTTATTTTATTAAATGACTTGTGCCA